CATCGAAGGTGTTGCTCACACAAAACGTCGAAAATGTTTTGTATGGAATAAAATAGCTAAAATAGCATTTAGGTCACGCAATGTGACGCTACTACTTACATAAAATGTATAAATCGCCACTGAGCAAAACTACTTGAGAAAAAAGCATTAGTTTAATAGTACGAGTGCAACACCGTACACGTGATAGAAGTAAAACTTCTTAAAAAAGCACATGTGTGCGCCCCGCACCCGGTAGAAATCTTAGCAAAAATGAAACTACGAGGCAATCAGACGAATACAGTTGTTTATTTTATCCAAAGTTGGTACCAAGTTGATACGTTTTTATCATTTCTCATAATTTTTTTAATTTTTTCGAATACAAAGTATATGTATCATTCTTTTCCGATTTATTCCATATTCGAAAAATTATATGTTTCAATGGACACATCGATTTGAATACATAATTTAGATTTAGATAACATCTTTAGCAATTTAATTGAGAAAAATAAAACAATTAGATTATTGTTTGTATTTTCATCGATTTTAAATTTGCTACCCCAAAATAATTGATATCAAATAAAACACCTCTTTGAGGTAAAATTTTCGATTGACGAAAGCTGAACTAGAACACAAAATTTAAGGTATCCACACACCTACGCGATTCTGGCGGGGCGAATCTGTTCCCACAAAAATTACAACAATGCCGACCATAGTTTTAAATGAGTAACCACACATTGTACAATTTTTCCGCAGCGATTTACTCGAACATTCACAGTTCTTATTTTGGTCGTGCCGTATTCGATGCCGCTTTATAAAACGGAAATAGATAAGAAGAATATCTTTTATAAGGGATTAAAATGTTACAATGAACTTCCAGCTCAAAGAAAAAATTGTGAAAACGTTGGTACCTTCAAAAGGCTGATACTTGATCACTGTAGAACATTGGCTATTAGATAGAAAGGTCCGGAATGGAAACTAGTCCTTTCGATCCGTACTCGCTGGATGACTCTGGATCTCGTCCATTCGGATCACCCATAATAAATGAAATAGAAAGGTCTTTATGGAAACTAGTCCTTTCCGTCCGATCAAATAGCGCGACTCTGGATCTCGTCCATTCAGATCGCCTGCCGGTAAAGAGGCGGCTTGGAAACTAGTCCTTTCCAACTGCCCAGTTATGGTGGCTCTGGATATTACACTCTTAGACCGGATGTCCTACGTGATATATTTACGGTAGTGCTTGGAATCACGTCCATTCCAACAGCATCGAGAATATGCTATCTTAGTTAATTATACGTACAGTATATTTTGCTTTGCTGCCTCTATGCTTAAGTGCACATTTAAGATACCTACCCCAAAATGCGCATCAAAAGCATTATTTTTAACATTTATAAGGAAACTGCTCCGATAGATGCATTCAACATACCTGCATATTGGCGATACCTGCCTTAAAAATTATGCGACTAGTATCAATTATCAATGAAAGTATTACGTTTACCTGCACTGGCCCTACAATTACCTAATTTTACAACCTTTTATTTATTTTGCTCATCTCGCAGAACAACGAAAATGGCTATCAATTTATGTAGTTATATAGATAATTTGATAACATTCGGTAAAAATTTCGCTTGCAGTAATTTCTACATGGTAAGTGCTCCGCCAATATTTGGTTTCATAGGGATTCGGATACCTTCCTCATTGAAGTAGTAAAGAAAATTCGCTTAAGTGCCTTTTTCGGTTACGTGCACAAGTTTTTCGTGCAAAGAAGGATGTGCAGCTAAGCAAAATATACTGTAAACTATTTTATAGCTTAGAAGGAAGATTGTAACAAAGTTAACTTAGTTTAAGCTTTAATTTTACTTTTATTATATATTAATTTTGAAATGCATATTACAAATGTATATATGTTCGTGAATATATATAGGTCAAATGACTGTAATAAATATATAAAAAATTTTTTTATTTCAATTATTTGTCTATAAAAATATAGTGCATTATTTAACAAAACCCAAGGTTGAAGGAGGTAGCGTCGCCAGTTGGAGCCCGTTTTTACGCCCTAAAGTAGAAATCAGAAAGCATGTCAACTCTTTTTGCGAATTTGAGTAGAAATTTTAGCTCTACTTTTGATTTTGAAGCATCTTCTCTGACGATGTCGATGACGATGATGTTATGTTCTCTAACTTCTCGAATTGGTAGGCTCCCAAGCAGCAGGACATCATCAGAGAAGATGCTTCAAAATTTCCCTGGTCTCCCGTTCGCGACCCTTCCTGTAGTCACAGAGTAAAAACACTTTTTCCGTACACGAAGGTACATATGTATATACTTATAAGAAAATTAAATACCGAGCTTTGAGATAATTATCCTAATAATAGATGGAAACTGAATAAAATCACTTGCTAATTTCAAAACATTTGATTCACATTAAATTTGTCACTATTGTACGGACATTATTATGTTAATCCAGTTTGATGTGAAGTTATAATAAAGAATGTAGATAATAAGAAGGTACAACTCGTTATAATTGTAACGAAAGTGAGTAATAGGGGCGGGCCTTGTCTTTTGCCCTAGTACGTTTTTTGATTGTATGAAAAGAGAAATCATTATTTTGTTATATTAAGCTTTGTCAATATTTTATACCACAAATGCTCATTTGATTATAAATACTACAATCAGGGCCCGGACTTTGGAAAAATTTATATTAGTAGATTTTACATAAAAAAATGGTAGAAGTTGGTAAATTTTTTAAAAATTAACAATGTTAGATAGTTTTTACTCATCTAGGATAAATCAAGGTGAATTCATATAAGGGGGTGTTATCGGAGCAGCTGTATTTTTGCCCCGGATGTTCTTTATGACAGAATGGTGTAGTTGTTGAAATTCTTATTATAATTATGCGCAGTTGGTGTAATTTTTGTTTCTGTACTCCTGCTATAACGCTGGGATAATTGTATCTTTTAATAAAAGAACAAAAAATGTATTTCACGCCAATAAAACGTTCAACAAAAACTTATACAAAATACTGGGCCCGAATCACGGCATCCGTGATCGAATGTAAATCGATTCGAATCGAATGAAATAAAATTACAGCTATTTTCTCCCAAATATATTGGATGCATTTCTTTATTCATTCTGAATGTTTGGAACGAACTTTTTTGTTTACTTATAGTTTATAACGTTCTTGATGATAGGTTAACGTATATTTCAAACGCGTTCTGTTTATTCTGGCTGTGAAATGGGATTATCTGGAATGTATAAAGAAAGCCATTTTGAATGGAAAAAGCGAGCTAGCTATCAAATTCCGTAATCTCATTGAAATTATTTTAAAAAGTTTTTCGTTTCGAGTTGGATTCCACCACGGATGCCGTAATTAATTTAAAAACAATTATCTCTGTGCTTGAAGTTTGCACACCATTTGTTTGGCAGTCTATCACAAAAGACGTATCGCGAACGAAAAATATTTAGATAATCAGCTGATAGAGATGCAATTTTACTTTTAAATTGGTTATGGTCAGAGTTAACTTTTCATTTTTGTTTTAGGTGTTTTCGATGATAAAATATGCATACACTTCATTCATTTAACCCCCCCTGAAATCTAATTTTTGTGGTATATTTTTTCAAGGGCAGTAGAAATCACAATAGTGAGGCGCTGAGTTTGTGACATTGTTAGAATAGGGGGCTAAATATCTTTGCTTTCTTTCCGGAAAATATTGGTAGATTTTTAGCCTTTGTTGGTAAAAATGGTAGAAAATAAAAAGTTGGTAGATCAACCAATAAATTGGTGAAGTCCGTGCACTGACTACAATATGCCATACGGCAACTCTATTTTCTGCGTTTTGTATACTCTTCTTTTTTTTAAGCACTTCAGCCAATCAGAACTCACCTCGCAACTACTGGAGGAAAACCAATTTTTGACAGCACCATGTCGTAACCTATGAATTCTATGAACCTTGAACTAAATCCATACAAATCGAAGTTTAATTCTTGGTGCAACATTTAAAAAAAAACAACAAACTTTCGTAAATTTTTCGAACTTTTAAATTCGATTTATTTAGTAATATTTTGAGTATACATTTTTGTAACCACTCCGACTTACCTTTCATTTTTGGATTTTTTTTTGTTCCAGTTATTGCTCAATTCCTTCCTTTTAAAAAAATACTCGAACATACTTTGTATGGAAGAAAAGGAACTGACATCTTCAACTAAAAATAAATAAATAACATTGCCAAAAATCAACGGTAAGGCGGAGCTACTTTGAAATACTTCATTTTCAAACTTTTTATAGGAGGGTTGGCATCTGTATAAAAAGTCAAAGTCAATTTAACCCATTAGTTAATTGAGATATGTATAAGTCAAACGAAATAAACGTTTAGTTTGAAAACACTTTTGAAGAGGGTTTTCAAGTTTCTGAAAGGCGAGATTTAGTTAAATTTTACACAAGTATGCAAAATACTACAATTTGAGTGCCAAACGAAAAAAAGCTTTGGTTAGAAAATATTTTTGAGTAGGGTTGCCACCTATTCTAAAAGGCATATAAGTGTATTCAAAGGTATTTTTGTTAATGTCATCAGATCTGCACTGTTCGTTCGATTTTCAAAGGATTGCCCTATAGATGTGCAATTTATTATTTTATTTTGAAAGTTAGTACATGTTGATTTGAAACTTGATGAAATGCAGTGTTTAAAATGTTTAATTCAAATGAATTCACAAGTTAATTGAAATACAAATGTAGCACAATATGGATGTTAAATAAACGGAGTTTAAGAAGGTTTATTCTGCATATAATTATAATCTATATCTGTTTTAAAAGTCGAAAGAAGAAAAGAAGAAAAAAGTTATTTAAATAATTTCTATTCTTGATATTATTAATATATTTACACTATATATGTGTATACATACATATATACACAAACGTAGTTATGTATCAATAAATTTCTTAATATATCTCAACTAATTAACCATTTTTACTTTGTTGTTTATTTGCTATTCGTGCAACACTTCAATCCTTATGAACCTAAATGAAATAGGGTCGTGAGGAGCAAGCACGTCTTGAGATGAAACATCGAAAGGAGGAAGATGACTTATACCGTAAATTTGCCCGCAAACGTGAGGAGGAAGATCGCAAAATTCAGTCTGAATTCCAAGACGAATGGGAACGCGAACTGCAGCGCCTCACACACAAATTCGAAAAGGAGCTGGCCACTTCGCGGCGTAATCGAGATGAACAGAATATGCTTACGCTGCGGCACGAACAGCAAAAGGAGGATCTAGAAAAGAATATGACACTGCGACGCAGCAAAAAGAAAGAAAGTATTACACGAAAAATGCTTGAACACGAGCGGTATGAAACGGCGGCATTAGTGGATCGTCAATCTAGTGAAATGTTGGAGTTGATCAGTGCGCGCCGTTCGGAATACATGCAGAATGAGAGCATATTTTTAGACGATGATTTTGACGAAGGTGCCGTCCCTCTCGAATATCCAATGGTGGCACCGGCACCAGCTCCACCAGCTGTGAGCAAATTCCAAATATATACTGATCCCATTGAATTCGAAGATGTTGATCGCATCGCAATATCGGTAAAACATATATATACAAAATATGGTAAAGGACCTAAAATTGTTTCATACTTTCATGTTTTAGGTAGCGCAAGAAGATCAGAAAACCTTCACCGACTTAGTACGACAATTAGTAGGTCGATGCACCACAGACATAGAAAAGGCTCGAACGATTTTCCGATGGATAACCGTTAAAAACTTAAATGCAATGCATTTCGATGATGACCTGCGTGGAGACACGCCGATGGGTTTATTGCGAGGCATCAAATACGGAACTGAAAGCTATCATGTTCTGTTCAAGCGACTCTGCAGCTACGCCGGTCTGCACTGTGTAGTGATCAAAGGCTATTCGAAGAGTGCTGGATACCAGCCAGGCGTGAAATTCCAAGATTCCCGGTTCCGTAACTCTTGGAATGCAGTATATGTAGCAGGAGCATGGCGCTTTGTGCAATGCAATTGGGGCGCTCGCCATTTGGTTAACGCAAAGGAAGCGCCCAAAACTGGACGTGGGAAAAACGACAGTCTAAGGTGATTCACACAAACATATAGGAATACAATTCAAGAGCATTTATCAAAAGTTTACTATCGAAATTCCCCTCAGATATGAATATGATGATCACTACTTTCTTACGGACCCACGAGAATTCATCTATGAATTTTTCCCTCTACAAGAGGAGTGGCAACTGCTTAAAAGACCAATTACTTTGCGAGAATTTGAAAATTTACCATTTGTACGTTCGCTTTTCTTCCGGTACGGTCTCCATTTCGCAGATGAAGGTTATGGCGCTGTAGTTTATACAGATGACACAGGTGAGTTTTGCGTCTTACATGATTGTTTTTAAAGTTATCTCTCTTTTGATGGAACGTCAATCGGCACAGGTGCAGCAACTGTTCGTATTGCCATGCCTACCGACATGCAGAGCTGTCTGATTTTCCACTACAATCTAAAGTTTTATGACAGCGACGAGGACTCCTATGACGGCGTCTCACTAAAGCGTTTTGTTATGCAATCAGTCATTGGAAACATTGTAGCTTTTCGTGTACATGCGCCGTGTTCCGGTGCCTTTCTTTTGGACATATTTGCTAACGCAGTAACACCACAGGAATACTTAACAGGCGAACCTATGAAATTTAAGTCTGTTTGTAAATTTAAGGTGGGTAAACTATTACTTCATTAAATTAGGCTTATTAAGGTTAGCTCCGTTAACATTGTAGTTCGATATTTAGCAACTGTATTAGCTTTTTTTCTAACATTCCCAGTTTGCAGAACAAACTACTGCCAAGATATGCAACCAGAAAAAAGTCAGCTAAATATATTCCTCTCAACACTAGATTTGGTAAATATAACCAAGTAATGTAACTATAACCAAATTATGTGTTGAGGAAAACATATTTATTTGACGTAACTAAACACTTTTCTCAGTGTGTATCATATTATTTTTATCGGCTAACTATAGCGTGGCATGGCCGGCAAAATGCCACGGGCCCCCGGCCCAAGAGACCGCGAGCTCAGAAATATTTAACATTTTTAACAAAACTAAGTACTTTAAAGTTATAATTTTTTAGTGCTTAAAATCAATTAAAGTGCGACACAACTAAAGACCGAGAACTAAAATGAACAATCAGTTGTATGGGAACTATAAGTTATAGGGGACCGATTTTGACGGTTCCGGCAAATAATTAATACATTATAAAAAAGCGTGGTAAAATACACTCGCTTACCAAATTTAAGTCGGATATCTCGAAAACTGAGGGACTAAATTGCGTTCAAACAGACAGACAGATGGACTTGGCTAAATCGACTTAGCTCGCCGTTCTGATCGTTTTTGCACACATTTATGTTGGTCTACATCTTCTTCTTTGGTACTTACAAACATTGAACCAAATTAATTCATGAAAGGCATAAAAAATTATGGAAAAATCCTACGTTCGCGACCGATGTTTAAGCTTATAAATAAAAAACGAATAGAGATATTTCAAAGCGCAATTAGTTAGGAAGAAGTACCTTTATTCCACTTTAATATATAATTAATCGCTTTAGAATATTCTGTTTAATTTCGCAGTTTCTTGCATTTTTCAATTTACAGCCAAAAGCGACATCCATTATTCGTATCTTCGCCACCGCATGTTTGTTTCTAACATATTGAAAAAAATAAAAATCGAACGATCATCTTTTTTGCACCACAGATAAACCTACCAAATGCTATCGAAACATAATAAAAATTCATGTCTTCCTTGTTTTTTGAACTTCAAAAGTGGAGAAACGTACGGTTCGCGACCGTTGGAAATGCCCACACACATATATGTATACTTTATTTTATGTCGTCCTGTTTTCCTGGAATATTTACTGCATTAATGTTATTTGTTCCAATTCCTGCGCCTACAGCTGAACGACCCTATTTGAGAACTCTATGGGACAAGACAGGCTACGTAACTTGGCTATTCTGTCCATTTTGCAGGTTCTTGCATCTTTCAATTTGCAGCCAAAAGCGACATCCATTATTCGTGCTTTCGCGACCGCATGTTTGTTGCAACATTGGTAACCAATAACAAACGAAGCATCAACTTTGTTTCTGCTGCGATGCGTTTCAATAACTTTTCAGATGCGTTTTGGAAAAGTATAGATTGTCAATATTTTGTAGTTCGGCGTTATGGAACATTATAGGGTGCGTTCAGAAATGAGACTGATGCTTTGGCTTGATGCATTTCTGAACGCACCCATACTTTATACGTATGCAAAGCAATTGACGTTTTGGAAGTCAGCCATACTTTATTTTATGACGTCCTGTTTTCCTGAAGCATGTACTGCATTAATGTTATTTGTTCCAATTCCTGCTGAACGATCATTTACGAAACTAAAATTAATAAAAACCTATTTGAGAAACTATGGGACAAGAAAATTCGATGGCTCTATCTTTAAACTTTGATGATGTTATAAATATTTTTGCGGAACAGAATGCTTAGAGAAAAGAAATTTTATTAATAAATATCTTATCAAAATTAACTAGTTATTTAATTACAAGTTTGGGTGTGTCATGTCCTTGAAAATAAAATTTATTAGATTCCCATCACATATTTTTTTCACCTACTAAAAAACATACCAAAATGGTTTTGAGGGTACGAATAACTTTTTGTTATCAGTAATAAAAAAGAAATGGTTTTTTTATAATTTATTATTTTTCAATAAAGAAAGAAAAAGTTGTAAACATAAATTAATTTCACTGGATTAAAAAATATATTTTCACACAGAGAATTTTTCACAATGTCGATATACAATATTTTTTATTTCAAGTTTTGTTTGCTAATTTTTACAAAAATATAGTTCATACTATAACAAAAAACATAAAGATATAATTTCTAAATTGTTGAAAACTCAGGAAAATTCAATAAATTTTCATGCAAATTTCCAATTTTTTAGATTTTTTTGAGTATGAAGTTTTGTAGCCCGCGGCGGTAGTGTAGCAAAGCTATTCCTAGTCTAGATATGAACCTTGTTGTAGGCATCATATCAAGGAGAACCAATTAGAAGACTCCAGATGTCGCCCCGCCAGAAGAAGTTAAATATTGCGCCTAAATATATGCCATGCTGCAGCGGAAATGGACGACATGCCATTTCTTTAAATAAAATTAACTGCTGCTATATGTACATATGTATGTTTATACAAAACGTAGGCAAACAACATTTTGCTTGCCAAGTCTTCTGTTCTCTTTCATTGCAAGTTGAATTATTTTAATATCTATTGCAAAATTTTGTACATAAAATAAAATAACACTTTTTAATATACAACGCTTTTTTTATAAATGGACTACAAATTATAAAATAAAATAATGTAAAAAAAATATTTTTTAAAAACAAGCTTTTATTTAACCTGTACAATCAAAGGAATAAAATGAAGTAGTGTAACAAAAGAGTTTTTAGCAAGAAAATTTTGTCAAAACTGCACTTAAATGACTAAAATAAAATAAGTTAAGGTCTCGTTAAAGTTACTAAAAGCCATTTGGTGAAAGGAGTTATTCTAACTCTAATGCAAATTACTAACAATTTGTACTAATTTACTTCGTTTTTAAAAAAGCTTGTCGCCGAATTCAGCGTACATGCATAATTGGTTAGGTATGTATATGTATGTATGTAGATATTTAAATGCCGGTTTGCTATTCGCGCGACAAGCTTTTTTAAAAACGAAGTAAATTAGTACAAATTGTTAGTTATTTGCATTCGAGTTTGAATTACTCCTTTCACTAAATGGCTTTTAGTAACTTTAACGAGACCTTAACTTATTTTATTTTATTCATTTTAGTGCAGTTTTGACAAAATTTTCTTGCTAAAAAATCTTTGGTTACACTACTTCATTTTATTCCTTTGATTTTACAGGTTAAATAAAAGCTTGTTTTTAAAAAATATTTTGTTTACATTATTTTATTATATCTTTACTCTTGAAAAGTCTAGAATGATAAAATACAGGATTGCGTCGTCCTGTCGTCGATGCCATTTCTCAAGTAAAAGCAAACAAAGCAGAATAGGAGGATAAAGAAACCATCAAATCCCTAAATTTTTTAGTAATATTAAATTTTTCGATAAAAGAAATCGTGTTTAGTTATGAAAGTACCAAAATTGGCAACGCTGGCACACGTTATTGTTAATAGTGTTGGGTAACTACTTAAGTGGTTTATTAAAACTAAATTACAACATGACGATTTATACTGGGAGGGCCCAATCCAAAGAATTTGCCACGGGCCTCAGATGATATAAGGTCCATTCAATAACTTTTCCAGTAAGTACTTGCAGCGAGAGCGTAAAAGAAAAATAGAGAGTAAAATTGAAAGCAAGAGAAAATTTTCAGAAAAAGTTGTTGAACGCAAAACTAGTAAAAACTTGCAGCTCAAGCCATTTTTACACTTTCTGACGGTTAAAAATAAAAAAATATACAATAGATTTAAATTTTTCATCCATATTTTCATATCACTAATTATGTTTCATCAAATCATCCTCTTAAACAGTTTGTTAACATTTGAATTTGAAACATAACCTTACTTTTTGACTCCTGCAAATTCCTGCTAGTCAAATTTTTAATTGCAAGAATTTGAAGCCCTCTCGGGTTGTTACGCTCTCGGATTCGCTCTCTCTTGCAAATATTTTGGATTAGTAAAAACTTGCAAATACTAGTAACAACTCGTAACAATTTTTTGAATTGAATGGACCCGAGTTATTTTAGAAAAATGCATTGGTTATTGAAGCTATTGCTCAAGTATATTTTTCTGCGTAACGTGCAGTGAATTTTATCTTTCAACGCCATATAGTTAGCACAAGTTAAGAATGTAGTTAAGTAAAAAATGCTGAAACCTCAAAATTTTAAATACATCCCCAAATGCCTCGAAAATCGCGCAAAAAATAATTGCGAAAGCCTCTTACTCGAAACGAAATTTTAATGCGCAGGTATTCTAAAAACGCGTTTTGACACACATAAATTATGGTGCAAGACTCGGTATTAGAAATACATACCTATTTATGACGATAGTAATGATTATATGAGCCATTCTTTTTTAAATCGGATGGATTTCGTAAAAAAAAAATTATTTCATGTCTCCGATTCGCTTAATTTTTTTTGTGGGCTCTATACATGAAATAAGCTAACACGTGTTCGAGGAATTTTTTTCTTCGGAGATATGATCTGTCAAATTTTGCATTTTTTCGTGATTCTGACTAATCATGTACTTCTTCAAATCGTTATATCTCGGGTTGTGATGGTCGAGATTGTCCTAAAGCTAACTTAGCTACAAACAGTTGAACTTTTTGAAGTTGATTTGCATAGTGAAGACCAGTAAATTTGGGATTTAAAATTTTACCATCGTATTCCTTGTTTAATTCTCTATAAAAAAACGTGGTTAAAAAAAATGGGGGTTTGTCAAGAACTACTTTTAAAATATTTTTCTTTATGACGAGAAGGTTTATTTTGTGAGAATCAACAATTTTTGTAATTTTTTTTTGAAAACTGATGTTAAGATATATTTGGTAAGGTGTTAAACCTCGGGTTTTTGCAAAAAGTAAATATTTATTCCGATAGAATACCTATCCAGGTATAATATTTGTATGGCGAGATTTTTCTTTAAGGCGACAAACCCCTTGAAATGGGCGTGGTAATTGCAGGACTAAAATTAGCAAAACGCAGATTTTATTGCGGATTTCGGCAGAATATCGCTTCGTTAACAATATTTGTTCCACAAAAAAAAAGCTTCTCATAAAATTCATTTGTCGTTCGGAGGCGGAGTAAAACTATAGGCTCCTCTATTTGTGTAACAACATCGAGACCACAACTTGGAGGAGATGCTCGGCCAACTCTAACATAATAGCTCTGATCCAGTACTCCATGAACTTACTCCAAACGTACTCCAAATTCCTCCAAAATCCTGTAAGTGAGAGCGATTTTTGGATAGTTGTGTGGAGAATGAAGTTGTAAGATTTTACCCGAACTCTTTTTCTATTAAAATCATGGAAAGTGTCAAGCGATCACTGGTTGACGTTTTTATAGGAAAAATGCTTTTTTTGTTCCCGTACTTTTTGTTGTTACTCACTTTTTATTCTCACTTCAGAGAGTAATTTTGCTGTTTGACATTTTTACAGGATTTTACAGGAAAAGTATTGGATCAGAGCTATTATGTAAGCGCCAATCTATTATTATTGTTATTATTGTATAATCTGGAAAGGATTGCTTGAAGAAACCCATTTAAAAATGTTCAAGGTTTCTAAAACTCGGATTTGGCCTGCTTTGTTTAAAGGCGTTACGCTGGTTCATATAAGGTGGTGTTACCGGAGCAGCGGGTTTTTAGCCTCATTCTCACTTTTAGCTCACGCTTGATTGTGGTCGTGCCCACCTCTGGCCATGATCATATCGACTGATTAGTGGAAAATCGACCTATCTCGGCAGCCAGTTCGAAAACGCCCGATCTCTATAAACTTTTCAATAACGCCCTATTTCAGAATTTTATGGAAAAACACCCTATCTCAGAATTTGGTTGAAGAACGCCGCAGAATGCGGTTCAAAACGCCCTTCCTCACTTCAAACTGTATTGAAAATGTGGGCGTTTTTTTAACAAATTCTGAAATAGGGCGTTCTTGAACAGTTTTTTGAGATAGAGCGTTTTCGAGCTGGCTGCCGAGATAGGTCGATCTTCCTCTCAGCAGTCGGTTATCGATATGCATGCATATATGTGGGAATGGGATATCGGGGTATATGGCAACACTAGGTAGGTGAAC